TTCATGGTCGATTACCAAGATTACATTAAGTACACCTGAAAGTCTGCTAAAAGAGATGTGAATGTAGCATTTTGGACAATCCCTACTGCGACCATCACTGAAAACAAGCAGCTGAACGACACAATGGCAACAATGATCCTTGAGATGTTGGCTACAAGATGAACAGCCACATAGAGCAGTGCTCTTTATGAAAAAGAAAGAGATTGGAGGTAAAGATCAAGGCAGCCCGGAGGGAGGTTAGCCAATTCTAAGAGTGGCTTATATGTGTGGCAGAAAGATGCAATAAAGAAAGGGATGTACTAAGAAGTGCAACTAGCTGCCAATAGCTCATGCCCTAGGAGCTCCCAAGCAAGACTCAAAGCATTGGCTAGCTGCTTGAAGAGGTACACCAGAGAGACAGAAGCCAGTAGAGAACCCAGATGTTCTCCACTGAACCATCGAAGATGCAATCCCAGTGGCACTTCACTCCATAAATGTTTGGCAGTGCAAATGAATGAGATGCTAATGGATGAGAGCTAGCCAGAACGGCTAACGCCTATAATACAGTAACTCGAAAAACTGATGTACTATTAGCTTTCAGTGTAAACTAGACATTCATGAATAAATAACAAAAACATATAGGCTGTGTTCAGAAATCAAAGCTGGAAGGCTGCTGCACCTGTCCCTTTAAACAAGAGGTTTGTAAGTAGCACAGAAGGACCCAACTGGAGTAACTTGTTCTGTACACAACATGACAAGTGACAAACACACTCTTTAGCTTCTGACTTTCTCTCTGAGATGTCACCTTACTTTTAAATGCATACATTTTTCACAGTTCTGTTGCTAATCTTGACAATCTGTCTATTTTGCATTGGCCAATTTGTGAAAAACACACAAAATATTGAGAGGAGGAGGGATTTTGTATTTTTTATGGGTCAGAGTAATTTTTCATGTTGTTTTTGAGTTAAAATCTCAAACATTTTTTTTATTATAGAAATGCACTTATTAACAAGCTGAAGGTAATAGCTTTCTTTGAATCAGTTTTTCATTGTGATGCTAAAACCATGTGTTAGCTAGGTAAAAATGCTTATCAAGAGGTCAGCTTGTGTGACAACCAGGCCCCTGAGAATGAGAAATGGTTTTACAGTTATGTGTTTTTGTTCCTTTGTTGGATAAGCAGCTTGTATTAAGCCGTATAGCAATAGCTGGCCCACGAAGCAGGGCTTCAATGTGTTGTCTGCAAAAACTGATCACTCAAAGATTATATCTCTGACAATCCGGTATGCATATTTGTCATAAATGAGTTGTGTGACTAATGCACAGGTTTGCTAGATAAAGACTAGCAAGCTTAAAAAATAGGCTGCCTTTCCTTATCTGGATGATCTAGCATGCATCAAGATTTTTACACTGACTTGCTCACTGTTGCTCAGGTTATCATGCATAAAAACAATTTGTCTTTTAAAAGATATTTTTGGCCTTTTTGAAATTATATCAATGATACATCAGTACAAAATGTAGTCATGGTGGAGTGTGCCGATTGTTCTCAGTTGTTTTTGTGATTTTTAATAAAGGTTACATTATTAAAGCACTTGTATTTAAATGACGCAGTGTTTATTTCTAAACTTGTTTATGTCTCTATCTGAAAAAAATATAGAATAAAATCAAGCCTTTTTTTTACATAACCAGGGATAACCACCCCCATACTGTGTGACAAACAAGCCCCATGATGGAATTGGTTGTCACAAAGTGTTAGAGTGTGGTAATTACTTTTTGTTACAGTTAATTGCAAACATGATAAGCAGACCCATTTTGAGCCAACCCGAACCTTAAACTTCAACTTCATGAAGGAAATGGTATTTAAGGATGTTTCAACGACGAATTTTAGCAGTACTAAAATGTGGGCAGACCTTCCCAAAGTGTGGGGCCCAGGGGCGCGGTATGAAAAGGGGAGGGGAAACAAAACGCTTGGACACTGCTAGCATGGGGCGGCCACAGAAATGCAAAGCAGGAAATGAAGCATAACTGAATATGTTTCCAAACCAACTTCATTCTAAGCCAAAGACTAGAAAATATGGTGAAGCATATCTGCCCTTTGGTTTCACCTGCACAAGTGCCAAGGTAGGTCTCCCCTGCAGAATTGGTTTTCGCTGGGCTCTTCAAATCACGGACAAACAGGATCCCACATTCTTGATTTTTAGTTCAAACACTTGTTGTAATGACTAACTACTCCTGACACTTTGGAGATGTTAGCTTTGTATACAGTAAAGTTACAGTGGGATACAAATAATATCAGGCTGATCCTGCCACGATTTGTTCCCCCTGTCTAAATCACGGACAAACAGTATCCTACAGCTGTTTATGTTTTTAAACCCATTTTGCACAGAGAGGCATTTTTTGAAAATGAATTGATAGCAATGTTGAATATTATTACACAGGAAAAAAAACCCAACTACACGTAAAATAATCACACCGTGACGCCCCTGCCTGTCTAAATAGAGGGACAGTAACTGCGTGTGTGTATGTAAGCCTGTAAAAACCGAAGATAGTCAGATTAACAGTATTTTGCCTCTAACTGCTATTCTGCAATTCATCTCATGTAAACAATAACGTGGTGCACAGCGTGACGTGGAAAAAGGCGCATACCTTTGACGTTGTGTGACAAACTCTGTATTCCTCGTCCACACAAAAGGAGTTTTAAAAAATCTCCATTTTCGGTGATTCGAAACGCCGTTTACGTGTGGACAAAACAGCTGCGTTTTCAAAAATACTCGTGTAGCATAAAAGAGTTAGTAGTTTATTTTATTACTACCTGTAATTTATTGCAGATTGTTTGTATTTGCTTATTTGTTTACTAAATGTTTGAGGTGTGAAATAAACCGCAATGGAGCAAAATAGGGGTGTGTGTGGTTGGAGGGTGTGTGCGTGCGCGTGCACGTGCGGGGGGGGGGGGGGGGGCGCGAACATTTTTTTTTTAAAACAAAAGGGGCCCTGGCAAAAAAGGTTTGGGAACCACTGGTCTATGCTGCAAGTAAAGGCAGACAGTAGGAGAGAAGCAGACATACATAAACTGCTAAGAAAACAAGTTGAAGGAGATAATATGTACTGAAAACACAGAAACACGCTCAGTACTCAATACTATAAATGGGCCTTTCTGCATTCCAAGGTTGTCCCTCAGAATTATGTTTTCCCACATAGGTCTAAATGTGTGCATGTGATAATTATAGCTTGATAGCTACAATTAGCTCCACTAGACACTAACAGGATGTCCTGTTTGTGAAGTAATTATCTGAGTTAGTTCACTGGGTTTTCAGTTCTTGTGGTTATTTTTGGTTATATTATGAAATATTTTCATAGTTGCTTGCAGAGATGCCCTTCTTTATATTTTACCAGAGGTGCTATGTTTTTGTTTAACACACCAGTCTCCAATTTAAAAAAAAGCACTAACATTACCTCAGAGGACTGGTTACTTTGTGACTTCATGCATTCACCCATCTGTTTTCCAGTTTTTCCATTTTGTTCTATGGAATTTGGTGGTTTTGACCAAAAGAGGACTTTAGTTCCTCTTCACAAAGAGCTGCACAGCAGATTAGGCTCCAGAAAGACTTTAAATTCAACTTAAAGTTAAAATGTTGGCGATTTTATTTACTGTGCTGTTTTGTGGCGGCACTGACACCGACAGAAGTTTGCAGTGAAGAGGAAGATCTGTGGTCTCTCACAAAGATCGATGGAGAGGGAGAGAGATTATCCTAACCTATCACAAGAGGGTATTCAAACACAACACCCTCTCAAGTGTAAAATATCTGCACATGTCAGCAAAGCTGCAGTTAAAGTCTGTGTGCCGCTCTAGCCATCTCCTCAAACAAAATGGCTTATACTTTCCAAGCTCGAAATTTCTATCCACCTGCTAAAAAAATACGATAGTTCCAACAAGTTACACTGCAGATTTTTGTGTATGCTTTCCTACTATCAACCCGGAGAAGACATTGGAAATAAGACCCCCTTTCTTATTATTTGATGGTGGAATATTTGCTGTAGAGTAAAAATTGTGGGATTGTTTAAAGAATTTCTCTGTATCTCCATTTTACTGGTTGACTAGTTCACTGTAGCCTTATCAATTACTCAACTGGAAGGAATTTGGGAGATTTCTGAAAAAAAATTTAAGCAATACATTTATAAAAACTTGGAGAAAAAAAAGTAGACAGAGTTATTTTAGCCATTTGATTTGCTGGAAGAACAGTGCCTCTATGACACCCAGTCTGAGAGGATATGGGTATTGAGGAATAACAACAAATAATAAAGAATTTAGATGACGGCAGCATATGTTGGGATGATTCAGTGTTTATAAAATCACATTATTAATAAACCCTTTAACGCTTTAAGCAAAGTCCAACAGTCGTTTTCTGAAGCTGTGTCCACATGTCCTGTCTTTCTCTTTAAAGTTGTATTGCTGTTTGGATGTCAAGCTATATCTTTAACAACAGAATCCTGATAAGGATCTCACTTAGGGCACATACACGAAACAACATGTGCACTTCTGTTTCTGTGGTCCTTATTATCGGACTGCAGACATCAAGACGGTTACTTCACCTCTGCATGTCTAGAGGCATCACGTCAGTAAAAGAGGGAAAAGGAAGCTTGAAGTGGAATTCCTGGCTGTACCTGGAAGAACCTTCACTGAGACATCGCCATGGAAGGTGAATATATTTTAACAGCAATTCAGTATTCGGTTGTCTTTGAAAATTGTTTGCAAAAAGATACAAATTCTATGCATTGTCACAATGTCATTAAAGTTCATCTTAAGGCTTTTGTATTTTCCTGTCATTTAATGTCCTATCATTTAACTCATATGAACTAAATAAGTTATAATAATTCAGGTTTAATTAACAGACCAAATCCTATTTTAGTGTAGCAGGGGTATCTTATGGATTGATGACAGTGGGAAATGAAGGGGTGAGAAACTTCCAAAAATATACCTGTGGGAAAATAAACCCTCATTTATCAATTATCTCTGAGGGGCCAAAATGCCAGGTAACGACAGTTCCGTCAATGATTATCAGTGGTTTTCTCAGAAAAGGAAAAATCACCTTAAAAATACACACAAAAGTAACCTTTGATCGGGCGACTACAGCCAGCACTTTCTTCTCCTGTCGCATCCCCAACAGTCAGCAGCAGGTGTATACAGTAGCAGTTGTGTTTGTGTTTCCTAATAAATAGGCTCTAATCCTGATGCATGTGTGTTGTATCGTAATTGTTGACATTTTAAAAGCTTTTCTCTCCCTTTGCAGGAGAGAACATCACAGAATACACCACAATGTATGATTACAGCACTTTTTTTACTGACGATGGAAACTACAATCCTATCAGCTACAGCGACGTAATGGACTTCATCAGAGTGTTTCTGGCCACTCTCTATAGTTTGGTTTTCATCCTGGGCTTCATAGGTAGGTGCGTCCTCTTGTGAGTATATTATGGGTGTTGGATTGTATTTAAATGATGTATGAAAGTGTGTGTATGTAAGAGAAAGAGAGATGATGTTGTTCTACATGTAACAGTGTGACAAGTAAACTTATTGTGTCTTTTCCCCCAAAGGTAACGGACTAGTGGTGTGTGTCCTGGTGAAGCATCGCAATCAGAGCAACCTGACAGACATCTGCCTCTTCAACCTGGCTCTCTCTGACCTCCTCTTCGTCTTCACACTGCCTTTCTACTCTCACTATGCCAGGGTCGGCCAGTGGACTTTTGGAGACTTCATGTGCCGTTTAGTCTCCGGCTCTCACCAGATTGGCTTCTTCAGCAGCATCTTCTACATGGTTGTCATGACGCTGGACCGCTACATGATCATCTTGCACGCTCACAGGGTTGCACGTTATCGTACAAAGAAGGCAGCCATCATTCTGACCGTGCTCGTTTGGATGCTGAGCTTGTTTGTCTCTCTGCCGGATTTTATCTTCACACAGGAAACAGAAGAGTCCCAGAAGTTTGGATGTGACTATCCCGAGGAGAGCAAAATCTGGGCTCATTACAACCTGTTCACCATAAATGTGCTGGGTCTCGTGATTCCTTTGTTGGTGATGGTAGGTTGCTACTCCAGAATCATTCCCACACTGGTGAGCATGAGGACCTCAAAGAAGCACCGCATCGTCAAGCTGATCATCTGCATAGTGGTTGCATTTTTCTTGCTCTGGGCTCCATTTAACATTTCTCGTTTCTTGAAGTTTCTTCAGGAAAAAGGAAAAATCCCACATGATGAAACTTGGGAGAAAAATTTAATGAAATCAATAATAGTGACCCAGGCCTTAGCTTACGCTCACTGCTGCCTGAACCCCATCATATATGCTTTTGTGGGAGAGAAGTTTATGAGACGAGCCTTGCAGCTGCTGAAAAAGTTTGTGCCTGGTTACAGCAGAGATGTGGCAGACAGGAGAAGCACAGTTATGTCCAGATCCACTGAAGTCACCTCCACTTACATCTATGGAGGTCAGTTGTAGCCACAGTACTCTTCACCGGTGTCTTAGCTTCAAGGCCTGTCTGCACACGTTTAGACCATTTGAATGAGTATAACCTCTTAGCACTGCCACCTGCTTTACAGAATTTCAAGTCTTTTCTAAACTCTGTGTAATGCTTTTCCTTCGTCTGCTCAGGCCAAATGAAACTTGCTGTTCACGGCAGCCTGTAACAGTTTGCTTTCTTCTTTTACGTGTTTTTAATGAGCTGTGGAAAAAGTGTTTCATTCAAATGTATCGCATTATGAAGTTAAGGTTTAGAAGCATAATTTCCACATTTCACATCATAATGGAATTTGATATGTTTATGTGGAACAAACTTTCCAGTGTTGCCAGATTTTATGCTCTCACTTTTGTGTTTCTGTACATTATACGGTGTGCTGTTTTTCATTCTAAACATATTCTAAAATAAACTTTTTCTGATGTTTGTACAAAACCTGTACTTTCATTTATATATTTCAAGCTAATCTCTTTCTAAATTTCAAATATATGCAATTTCTCTTTCTTTTATTATTTCATGATTTCATGATGTATTTGTAAGTACCCTGCAAATGGAGAGATCAAAGTCTTTCATGTACTTATCTCTCATCTTGTTTCTGTGTAACTGTTTTCTTAGGACAATAAATGATACAGCACATCTTGAACTTGAAATGACAGTCATACACTTGGTCATTGAGCATTCTTGTCAGATTCCAAAATTACATTTGAGATATGTACATTTGGTAAGACATGTTAAGTAGTTTCAGATCAATGTATTTATGGTTGCAGCCACCAGTAAACACTAGCATGATTTATTTCAGGCAGGAACTGTGAGTAAGTTCAAGTAAAGTTGTGCAAACTAGGCTCAGTCATTCCTGATAAGCTGAATTTAGTTTTTAGAAATCAGATTATTAAGAGGTATATTTGAAAGGAATAAAAAGGAAACTCCTCATTTGAATATATTTTTCCCCTTTGTCTTTTCCCGCCTCATGTTAACGCATAAAGGGACATTTCTGAGAAAACCACACCAACACCTCTTTGCAGGTTTAACACAATGCGGAGGAAACAGCAAAACCCAGAGTTCACGTTACCAGAAATGAGCTCCGCTGCAGGATTTGACACAAAAAGCAAGCAATGCATATTGGCAGGATGACATGTAAGCTCGGCGCGCAGCACAAGAACATACACATTCAGGAGCAGTGATTTTGGCCAAAAGTGTGGTAAGCGTGTTCAAATTTTTGATTTCTAAACATTTAGTTTCAACTTACTAGACTTACTTCAGCTCGTTCACCTCCTACACCCTTTAACCCACTGTGTAGTTGAGGAATATGCGTGTGTGTATGTGTGTGTGTGTGTCAGCGCGTAAACACTGTCACCCACAGGAAGTGAGGGTCGGCAACGGTAACAAGTCAGGTGGTTGTGCATCTGTTTATAGTGAAAGGAAAAATGTTTGACATGCGGTTTGAATAGATCACATCAATTTGATTATGGTCACGCCGGCAGGAAGTTTTGAGATATCTATGGATGTATAAGCATTCATCTACAGCCATTCATTATATTTAGCCTGTACTTTGAAAACAGAAGTTAACCTTCTGGGTGGTTTTTACACATAAGCCTCTCTTACATGACTCACTAAATGATGATTCTATCAAAAATGTTCTACTTAAAGGGCAGGAAAGTCCAGTCCACTCTATCAATTCCCTGTTTGAACTAATTTTTCCCTTTGAAGAATTTATCATCACTTTAAAATGTTCATTTGATGAGCAAACTGTTCATTCATCATGCTTGTGGGGAATAGTGTGTCTAATAAAGAGAAGAAATAAACAACATACTCCTTTTCTGTTTCTTGAAGACTGGCTTTAAAGACTTCTGATAGCTAAACTATGGAGGAAATTCTTATGTGACTTTCCACAAGAAAAATTAAATCAGGAGCCAAAAGGTGCCATCATAAAGTAAGTAGGCTTTTTTCTTTTTACACATACATACATATTTATATGTAAAATATTCAGGTGCTTTGGCTTTAAAATAGAATGAGAACAGACTCAAGTTAATGTTTGGTAAGAAATTCAGTAACTACCACAAATGGCTTGTAGACATGTTCTGGCATAATATGGCACAAAAAACATAATCTTATAATGATCATAGATGTAAATGTACCTCTTTAAATTATCTGTGATATCTGTTAGACAGCAGAGTGACTGAAGAGTGCGTGGCACTGGGGAAAGGGAACACAAAAGGCATTTGAGGACAAAAACTGAATAGAGGAAGTTTTATGTCTTTTGGGCATTTCTCTCTATCTGTATTGCCACTTTTTAATCTTCTGATGGGCTGAAGAAAAAGGAGGAAAACACTGGAACACTTCATATGTGTGCATGTATGTCAGAGACTCACCCAAAACAATCCAGAACTGGGTTTGAAACTGAAAACATGATCAGACAGGTCCAGCTGCTTGAGTGGTTTGGCTGGTGCTTTTTAAAGCACTGAGCTGCACCTTTTTTAACACCAGACGAACTACTTTTATTTGATTTCCCAACAAGCTGATTTAACAGATTTGGTATTGTTGGTGCCAATTACATCTATATAGTAACAACGGGCAGCCTCCATATTGTTATTACTTGTGTATTGTTTACATCATTTAAATAACTTGAGATGAATATATTGACAATAGTTCAGGTAATTGTTTTTTTCTTTTTTTCTCTTTATGTAAAAGACCACAGTAGCTTTTAAACGTGATGGTGACATTCTCACCTTTTTGCATGACTGTTGTACTACATTGACCAAATTTCCTTTTCTGTCTCACAGCTGTACCACCATGTCAGATAACGGGACCTTTAACTACTCAGAAATGTATGACTATGATTACAATGATACCTGCAATCCGGATTCAAGTTCGGATTTCATTGGATCCATGGTCTTAACAGTGCTTTGCTATGTGCTGTTTTGTGTTGGTATTCTAGGTATGTATCTTTTTTTTTCCATACCAATTCTATGTAACACAGCATTTATAAACCAGCCCCGATAAGGCTTTTTGAATACACAGACATAGCTTGTACGATAGCCCAAGACTCAACTCTGTATACTGAAGCACAGAACTCATCAATAAAGTTCATGCATGCATCAGACTTTCACATACGTTCTGTTCTAAGATTAATATCTGAATTTATTTCACAGGAAACAGCACAGTCCTGTGGGTCCTCCTGCGACATGTTAAGCTCAGAACTATGACTGATGTATGTCTTCTCAACCTGACTCTGTCAGACCTCTTAGTGGCTGTATCACTGCCCCTCTGGGCCCACAGTTCCCAGAACCTCGGCTTATGCAAAATAAAAACAGGAGTTTATCAGGTAGTTATTTTCTTTCTCACTTTCTTTCTCTAAATGGAAAACCTCATGTGTACCATAATAACACATGGAATGCATATTCATTATTGGAACAACTGAAGCACTTCAACTTTCATGATTGACACGTCGATACCGTGCCTTCTTCAGAGCCAAGGCTGCGGTCCACGAGATTTACAAAACAGATAATCTGGAGTCTGTTGAATTTGAAATGTTGCAACTATGACTGACGAACTGCAACTTCCTCATGGCTTTGCCATGTCGCTGGCGAAGACAAAGAGATGATTATTCTTAGGCTCATCAAAATCAATAGTTTTCGGTTGTATTGAATCATATGTACTACCAAAAAGTAAAGTTTATATATAAACAAAGTAATCTGAATGGGCTCCTTTGTCAAGATGAAAATTTTTTTATGTTACTTTTTTTTTTAAATAAGTGAAAGTTTAACCAGTTTACTCACATTAATTACTTCATATTTTAGTCAAAAGAAATGATTTCTGTTTTCTGAATGCAAAATTCCCAAACAATTACACCTGTGTAGTTGTTCGATTCTCTAAAGCTCAGGTGATGTGTGAAGCAACTGCTGGGTAATGTCAGATTTGTGAAGAACCTCACTGACGCATTTAAAGCCTCATCAAAGGTTTCCTCATCTCATGTCACATCCTGTTCTAATTTTACTTCCTCTCTTCTTCCACCCAACAGTTAGGCTTCTACAGTGGGACCTTGTTCGTGACCTTCATGAGCGTGGACCGCTACCTGGCCATCGTCCATGCCGTGGCAGCCATTCGAGCCCGGACACGTCGCTACGGCATCACAGCCAGCATCATTATTTGGGCGATATCTGTCACTATGGCAACCCCTCGGGTAGTATTTGCCTCCTTGGAGTCTGATGATAATGTCTCAGAGTGCCAGCCCATCTACCCAGAAGACACAGAGCATTTCTGGAAGTTGCAGCGCAACTTCAGTGAGAACACAGTGGGCCTTTTTCTGTGCCTTCCCATCATGATTTTCTGCTATGTGAAAATCCTCATTGTGCTGTCAAAGTCCAGGAACTCTAATAGGAACAAGGCTGTGAAGCTGATTTTCATCATTGTGTGTGTGTTTGTGGTGTGCTGGGTTCCCTATAATGTTGCAGTTTTTTTCGAAACACTGGAGGTGTTTGACATAAACCTGGGACCCAACCCCTGTGTGAGTTCAACAGCCCTCAACACTGCCATGAGCATTGCTGAGATTATCGCGCTGTCCCACTGCTGTGTAAATCCAGTGATCTACGCATTTGTAGGAGAGAAGTTTAGGAAGTCATTGAACAAGGTGATGGCTAAATACTTTGGTTGGAGTTACCCAAGCAGTGGTCCTTACAGCCACAGAGATACCACAGACAAAGAAACCTCCAACACACCTGTAAGATCAGAGTATTAAAAATGGGTTATGTGCTTTGCTGATGGGTGTAACTGTTTCCGCAGCACTGGATTTTTTTTTTTTTATTTGAAACTGAGAGACTACAAAGATCACAAATTGTGTGTGTGTGCGTGTGTGTGTGTGTGTGTGTGTGTGTGTGTGTGTGTGTGTGTGTGTGTGAGCGCACGTGTGTGTGAACGCATGTCTGTGGTTAGTACTTCTGAGTGGTGTAAAACAATTCTCAAAACCAATTTGCAGTTACAAGCATTCAGTTTTGAAACTGCTTAAAACAAAACACATGCATCAAAACATAAATGTCGTGTTTATTCACAGTTTGTAACACAATCTTATTTTTGAAAAAATAAAATTATTGAACAAAAAAAACCCTTTCGTCATTCTTCTTTCCTTTTACAGTAAGAGGAAAAAAGTCTCTGAAGTGTGTTAAAGGGTGTTACCAACAGTGTGTTTTTGCAGGGTAAGATAGACGCATAGCAACCCTTTATGATGGAAGCGGCAAAACCACTTTCACTGCTGTAATTCCTGCCAGAAGGTTATTATTATTTGAAAAGAAGTGTTCAGATCTGAGTTCATGTGTCATCTAACAACAACATGTCTGAGTAACACAAGGCATTGTTGGGGCCTACGAGGTGAATTTAAATGATGCACAACAATATTAAGATCTGGTAAACACACAAGTCACACAGAAGGTTTCCTCTTTAAATTTTAGTCAGAAGTCTACCCCTAACTCAAAGAAAGAAATGCATTTAGCAGACACGATGCTATTCTGAAACCATTGTCTGTACAGGGTGCACTGCTGGCTGTGGCGGTAGTATCACTTCTGTCAGGCAAAAAAAACAAAAAACCCACATGCAAGCCTCCAGCTGTGTGCGCCTGCAGGTCTGGTCAGAGTCACCTTGCATATTTAAAAGTTTGCATATATGGACTTGTGGTTCTATAGCTGCACAGACTGTGGGCTTTTGCACTGCGTGTTTCGAAAACAGTCTCAGGAAACTATTAAACCATACATCTCACATCGGAACCCGCAAGCCCACCCAGTTAACTTGGTTTTGAGGAAGGTTGTACTTTTAAAAAAAAAGCAACACCTTCAATTTTTTTTCATGTGTGTGCAAACCATTTCTCACTTCACACATCTTAATGCAAAGTGGATAACTTGTTTGATTAGACAAGCCATCTCTCTATCCTGCGATCCACAATGAATTCCACCATCAGCACCATGGAAAGGTAAAAATATTTTTCCCACTTTATATGCAGAATGATTCAGGCTAACATGTCAGCAGTATTGCTGCACGCCTTTACAGTTCTGCAAGTGGGAAGAAAACAATGACGCACACTTATTTATCTTCAGCCTGTAACAATTGAAATGGTTTTTTTTTTTCTTTAATGGAAAGCATCTATAATCATAACTAAATGGACAAAAGTATAAAGCAAAAAGAGGAAGGTCATTTCTCATTAAAAGTTCAATTATAATGCTCAAAATGTTTTGGATTTAGCTCATTGATCCATATCTTAGACGCAAGATCTTTATCAGTTCATCTTTTACCTGTTGTGGCACAGAGCAATCTGAGTGAAGAATAGTGAACTGGGGCACAGTGAGGAATGTGTTATCTATGCATTATTTAATTAATGACAGTAATGCTGCCTTTTTTTCTTTTTTTCTTTTTGTAAGTGATAATAGAGACAAGCACCAAGGTGCATTTTCTGTATCTGTCTATCTGCTGACAGTGACAGGGCATTTTCTCTTTTGCATGTGTTAAATTTAGGTCAGTGGAAGAGGAAATTACATCCTCATCTCATTCGTAACACTTTTGAATATAAAATGCAATATCCTTTGATAATATCCAAGTTATCCAAGTAGTTTTCTACTTTTTTTTTGCCTTGTTTTGTTTATTTGTCTTTTTGTGTGTGTTTTTTTAAATTAATGGAACGTGTTAAAAAAACTTATCTTAATTCTTGAAAAACAGTAGTAGCTATCATCAATCGTCAATTAGACTGACGCTAATCACAAAGCATTTTAAATATAGTGCAGCGCACTAACTGCAAAGTCCTCACAATTCAAGACAGTTATTTTTTCAGTCTTAAGTAAATAAACCACTTACAATGGAGATGTCTTCTTCTGTGGCCAGGATTTTTACTTTATAGTCTATACCTTATTTGGCTTCCTTTTTTAATACTTTAATGTTTAAAGTGATCTTGAGTTCCATGAAAGATATCAAATAAAGCTAAGCTATTATTATTATTACTATTATTATTATCAGCATTATAATATTGTGTAAACAAGCTGCCGATACTTACTGCTGAGTGATGTACACAAATCCTATGCCAACTCAGGTTCTGATAGTAATCATGACATAATCAACTTTAGGGGGATATTCTCCTCTAACATTACTTTTCATAGATTTATTTATTTGTAGTATTTTGTTTTTTGCACACAGCTGCTGAAAATGTGTTATAGGCACATCACTGAAGAAGCTACAACAGTCAGTGTGCTGCTGTAACAGATCCTTTATTAGATTAAATTTTACCAAAATTTGAATCAAAAGTGGAGAGGTAGAGGGAAGAGATGACAAAACCACTGCTGGGGAAGCCTACCACAGACTGATGCAGTGCACTGATTCTAATCCACCTGTGTGAAATGTAATAAACCAAAAGTGCTATGAAGTTAAAAGGGCATACAAAAGAAATCTGTTGCCACAAACCATAGCAGGAGCAAATGTGGGTCACCCTCCCCTCAATACATGGAATGACCACAAGCATGTAAGTCATCAGCAACTAGAAGCAGTGAGATCTTTAAAAAATGTTGCAAGTATGTAAAACTTATTTATATAGCACTTTATAAAACATGTAACCAGTCACAAAGTTTCATATTATTTCATAATAAAGCAGTTAAAGACTAAAGAGCATTAGATTGATTGGTAAAATAATCCCAAAATTAACAGCAATCAGTTCTCAAATTAGTTCCGATTGCGCACGGAGCAGATTTGACTTGGCTAGCTATAGACGTGTAGTGTTTTTCCCCACTCCTCTGTACAACCTCGCTTCAATTCATTGTGATATTCAGGAATTTGTTCATGCACACCTCTCAAGGGCCAGCCACAGCATTTCAATCAGCCTAACGTCTGGACTTGATCCTCTTCTTTTTCAGCCATTCTTTTGTGTTAGGGATCACTGTCACTGTCATCATTGATCAAACTGGGTCAGGCTTGAGCTGTCAGACAGGTGGCATTTGACATTTGATTCTAGAGTATTTTGGTATACACAAGAGAGCATGGTTGACTTAATGATTGCAAGGTGCACAGATCCTGTGGCTGCAAAAAACCCCTATATCCTCGCCTTTCCTCACCATCGTGTTTGACACTTGGTATGTGGTTTTTGTACTGACATGCTGTGCTTGGTTTTCACTGAACGTAGAGCATGTTTGGCTTCATGGCCAATCATCTCCACTTTGGATATCTTACTTTATCGGATTATTCATGTGATGTTTATTTCCACTTCTGCACCATAATGGGCCTTCTAATTTATCCCATTTCTTTGAACACTTTTGTTACTTATATTTTTGCAGATCCACTCATATACAAAGAAGTTGCCTAATAAATGTAATTCAAAAATATGATCTATATGACGACTTCACGTCAAGAATTGGCCCAATAAAGCCCCTGTGCCCCCCTCAGCTGAATAGAATCATTAACATTTGGTTAACCACAAATACTTCTGCTGCGATCGAGGTAAGCAGCATGCCTGTGAGGCACAGCGTTGAGAGGTAACCCTCATATATATTTGTAACTAAAATCAGGTCACTCATCAGTATGTGTGGTCAGTTTTTATGCACAACCCTACTCAAAACCTTCAAAACAAACAGAACTGCGTTGAAAATAAATGCGTGCTCACAGTCAGCTCTCCCACTGTGTGTGGCGGTGCGTCTGCTTTCAAACACATGTATTTTCCCACTTTTGTATCTGTGGCTACATTCCTCTATGACATTATCATGCGTGTACGGGTGCAATTATGCAGGGTATGTGTGAGTGCAATCACATTTTGTATTCTAATTCATGTAATAGCAAAGTGAATTGAGCCAAATCCCCCCATCAAAGCTGCTTGCCCATCCAGTTCACATGGCCTGGTGCTGAACCTGTCCCTGTGTGTGCATATACTTACATATACTTTAATTTGCCCAGATTTAACTCAGTTTAAGATTTAACATTTGAGTTATGTATCAGAATTGCATAGAACATTTACATGCAATTTAATGATTAAAACTAATTTACATCCTTTTTTACCATATAAGTAGGGCTGATTTTTTGCTAACGAGTGAAAACTAGAGATTTATTTCACTCCTTTACAGTAGAGTTAAAATACAGTATCCCCACCCCTGCCACTTTAGGAGGTAGGACGGGATTTCAGTTCTTTGGCTTCTTTCTTTTTCTTTTTTAAAGCAGCGGATCATGGACGAGACCACCGAAACTGACTTTACTTTCAGTTTGAATCTTACTGAATCTTTACTTTTCCAAGGGTAAGATCAGCTATAACAAACATCTATCGGCATTTTCTTCATTTATTGCTCATCGTGAGACTATTTTAAGCTTTTTAATATCATTACTATCCACTCCCCCGTCTTTTTGAATCTTCGCGGTTTTCACCTTCCTTTCATTTTTCCTTCCAGGCGACGCATTCCTAGTTATTGTTTTAGCGTTGGCCTGTGTTTAGACAGTTTGTGTCACTTTCTCATGAACTGCGAGGGATTCAAAATCTTCAAGCACTTCGTCATTTGTCGCCAAATACTTGTGATTTGCTCGCTTGTAAACAATCGCCAGCTGTTTGTTTTCACAGTTGCTGGCCCCCTGCCCTTCCTTCCAACAGAGCAGCAGCAGTCACAGACGGTCTGTCTCGTAGGAAGTTTAAAAAAGAAGCCTGATAAAGCTTACCTCACTGCCACGTGAGCTCGTGCAGTGGTTCTCTTACTTTGCTACAGTTCTTATCTGCACCAAAACAACTGTGCTGCTTCACTAACCGCTTATTTTATTTACAACCGCAGCACTTCATAATAAAATTTGACTTCCTGCTGAGCTGTAAGACTGAAATTCAACTGAACTAAATAAACAGAATGTTATGAATATTCTTTAGATTATATATATATCATAAAATAAATGTTAATTGTACTTACAGATTGAAAAACTGTGGTCACACAGTGTCCGATTGCCTGCGTTTAAGAGTGCCAGGAGGCATTTTAAGATGGTTGCAAAACCTGATGAACGCATTGAGAAACTCTTTGATAGAAGGACTTTGGCTGGCTGACACCATATTATAAATTGATTACATTCAGTTAAATTCATTTTTATTTGTGTACGTCCAAATCTCAGCAAGGTGCCTCAAGGTGTTTTATTTTGTAAGCTAAAGCTTCTATAATAAATACATAACACGATAAATTATCAAATGTAATCTTAGTTTCATCATTGTATATGTTGGTTTTGCACTATACTCTCATTTAGTTAAAATGTTGCTATTAATTAATTATTGTATTCTGTATGCTGTGCAGTGTCACAGCTGTGGTGCTGCTATTCAGATGACTCAGATGAAAGTATCTATCGGTACTATCACACACAAACTTACACGTTCTCAGCGGCTTCACTTTAAATGTATCAGTGCATTTAAAGTGAAGAAAATCTCCTCAGTGCTCCTGTTAATCAACTTTTACCTGAGCAGCTGACCGCTAAACAACTTCTTTATCCCCTGCTTTGATTTAGCTGATCCCAGTATTCTGATAAATACGCTGCTTTATATAAATTGTTTCTGTTTAGACTTCCAACATTTTGAACAGCTTTGGTCAAGGTCAGACATAGTACCAAAACCGCTGATCATGTGAGTGACTGGTTTTGAAAGTTCCTTGTGCCAGTCCTGAAAGTGAAGAAATGCTTTCCGATACTGTTTAAATGAGCTGCCACACAGTTTGAAGCCTGCAGATCATCGCTGAGTTAAACTGTTTATAAATGTGTTGTTTTATATAGATGCATACTTTAATCTGTGATAGACAAAGTTGTTGAAAATAAGTAAGGCATAATGAGTAAATCTAATCATTTGTTTTTGTGCCTCTGTTTCTTTCCAGCTTCAGCACGCCTCCAACTGAAAATAGTCCTGCATATAGTTCTGAATATACTACTGACTATTATGAATATGACCCCGCCATGTTCGATGGATTTGAACCATGTGTATATACGCGACACGGAGCAACTTTTCTTCCTGCCATCTACATCATTTTCTTCCTGCTGGGCGTTCTGGGTAACTCTCTGGTTTTCTGGGTCATTACTTGTGGAGCGCGACTCCGCACCATGACCGACGTGTGCTTGTTAAACTTGGCCATTGCTGACCTCCTTTTGGTGTGTTGCCTGCCCTTCCTAGCCCACCAAGCCTGGGACCAGTGGGTGTTTGGGGATGCTATGTGCAAAATAGTCTTGGGCATTTATCATATCGTCTTTTACTGTGGGATATTTTTTATCACTCTAATGAGCATTGATCGGTACTTGGCTATAGTGCATGCTGTTTGTGCTATGAGAGCACGTACACGCTCCTTTGGAATGATCGCAGCTGCTGTTACATGGGGAGCGGGATTTCTGGCTTCTTTTCCTGACCTGATCTTCCTCCAAGAGCAAAGAAATGTGTCGGGACAGCACACTTGCTATCCTGGATTTCCAGACGTGAGTTCCAGTCTTCATTTTTGGCAGGTCTTCAGCATCGCTAAAATGAACATTGTAGGCCTGCTCATTCCGATCATCATTCTGGGTTTCTGCTACTCACAGATCATCTGGAGGTTACTGAACAGCCAGTCATCCAAGAAACAAGCTATCCGCCTTGTTGTCATAGTGGTAGCTATTTTCTTCTGTTGCTGGATTCCCTACAACCTTGCGTCACTTGCCCGAGCACTGGAGCTAAAGCACCGGTTTTTAGATTGTGGGCACAGCAAAGCCGTCAGACTGGCTTTACAAATCACAGAGGCCATTGCTTACTCTCACAGTTGCCTCAACCCCATCCTGTATGTGTTTGTCGGGGAGAAGTTCAGGAGGCACCTGTTGCGGATGATAAACAGATCTCCCTGCAGACTGTGCCAGCTGATCAAGGTCTTCATACCACAGGACAGAATTTCTACATCAGTCTACTCACAAACTACCAGCGTGGATGAGAGGAGCACTGCTATGTAGTGAACTACAGTTGGGGGATGTGCTTCTTTTCATTTTTTCATGTCCAGTAAAAATAGATCACTGTGGCTTATTGTCACTTCTAGAGTGTTAAGGTTTGGCACTTGTGAATGTATGCATGTGACTGTATATTAATATAATGTACCACAGATATGTATTTTTACTCTGTTTTTGTACTTCTATGAGTTATGACCAAAATGTATGCAATTCCATTATAAATCTGATTTTGAATACTTTGGTGTATCTTCACCTGGGACGATGAGTCACAGTTAGACTTGTTGCAGTTTGTTTTGCCGCTGGCTCTTTACTTAGCACGAAACTGTGTCAACTACAACATCTGTCAGCAGCTACGGCAACGTCATCCAGTTTAAGTGGGGAAACGCACCACCATGAAAAGTTACATGTCACAGTAGCCTACATTTTTATCCAAACACGATGACCCCCCTCACAGTTGTACCCGTTGCATCAGTCTGCGCACAGGAAATCGTGTTCAGTGCAACTTTGCAGATTCAGCAGTGTAGGTTGCCTAGCATCATTAGCAGAACATTTGCACTTTACCCAACACAGAGAAAACCACAACCTGAAAGAGGAAGCATGAAACCAAGCTGTTAGTTTAACCTTTGCAGTCTTTGTGCACATCCGAGCCGTTTGTTATCAAGTGACTTCATAGTTCTGCTGGTTTTTCTCGTGATATTAATCAGGATTGCAAGAAAGAAGTCCCTTTTTACAAGAGTTTATCGATGGGCATGCAGACAGTTCCTCTTTCAGCTTCTTTGTTTCAATGCCCGGATGGATGACAAATTACAGGAAAAATCGCAAAAATTCCAGGCTGCATTTTACTGGATCCTCTAAGAGAAGGGGAGCTCTGAATCAGTAGAAAGTTGTTCTCATATGAATTGATATCATTATTACTATTATGATATTATTACCCCCACCCCCCTTTTCCAGGAAAACAGTCATAAGGAGTCCCTGAATTGTCTGATAAAGCTTGGTTCTATCTTTTCACCTATAATTCTGCTGATGTTTTTTTTTCCATATTTGCTTCAGTTTCCAGTTTTTTGATAGTTTTTGTAACATAAACATTTCTGGTTTCTGTCAAATGGGTCCAGTCATTGGGGCCACAAGAATTCCGATTCGGTTTTTGGGGTAATTTAAATGTTTGATCAGTCTTTGTGTTGTATTTTCTCATTCCTGTTTAAAAAACGTGTTTGTAATCAGCTGACAATACAGAATAAAGGTGTTATATTTCTATGGTAAGTGCGGCATCCCTGTGACACGAATGAGTGTGTATGGTGAAAAGGTGTGACAGATCCAATCTAACCGCAGTTGCCTCTTTTCACTATTTTTACCTTTTGCTTTAAGTGCTTCCACAAAATAAGGAGTATCTGCACTGACTAACAAACCAACTTTGATATGCATGTTACTGTAGAGTAGAGAGGTGTTATTGTTCCTGTAATAAACTGTACGATTCATCTGGTTTCGGTCAGTGAAGCTGTTTGCTTTACAGGCACTCACGTTTTTCATCTGATAAATTAGCCACACATTTCTTGTAACTTCCTGGCGTCATCATTTTCTTTCGTTGGTTTACATATATATTCAATTTTACTATATTTTGAAAAGAAGCATGCAGCTACCCATCATATACCTTTTTTTAAATCTAAAAAATCCTTTTTTGTGCATTATACCATTGTCTATGTGGAGAGATATGAGCTAAAACATCATTTCTGTTAGTCTAGCAGAAAGTCAGAGTGGAGCACTGAGTCCATTCTTGGGAAACCCAGTTATGTCGACTCTTGAGGAAAGTGACAGAATACGCCCATCCCTTAATAACACAATCTGCTTCTGTTTTTTTTTTTTTTTAAAGAGCTTGCTCTTAAACTACTGAGAACACAGTGTACTGAGGAAGTGGAAACCCTAAACTGAGAGGAGGGGCAGGCTTGACCCTGTCTATAGATGTAGATTGATGATTACTGCTTCCTCAGAAAGTGTTAGGTGAAACCTGCCTTATTTAGACCGCTGACATTTAGTGTCTGCTGTTTAAGTCCCAAGACAATGGAGTTCTTAAGATGCTCAAAACAATGGCGAGCATCATCTTCATCATCATCATTATCATCATCAACATGTAGATTTCAAATGAAAAAATTCCAGCCCAGGAAGAAAACATCTGATGCAAAAAGAGTCAAAGTGAACGTGTTTATTTTCAGAAAGCACAAATTTGGTCTGAATCAAAAGCGTGCCAGGGAGAAACATTTGCTGTGCAAAAAGACGATTACTGGCACAAATTGGGGCTTTTTGTTCTGGGTGGATGAATCCAAAATTGTAGTTACTGACCTTCCTGAAGACCACTTTGACGTGTATCTACCATCAGGAAAAGCCCCTGTAAAACAAACTATATATACTGTGATCTAACTAAACGGGAGTGTAAGGAGTTAATGGATGTTACAGCATCCTACAGAGCTGTAAAGCATGATCTGAAGGTGCTGCACGGCTGTAAGCAGTTTTAGGGTTGGCACAAACATTTGGTTTCTGTGGTCAAAGAACTGCTGAGGCAGTACAGAAGCATCTCACCAGATAAGGCTGTTTAGGCAAGGAAACGGAAAAACAACCTGCAAGTAAACAGTCTGACAACTGTCTGCGATATAAAAACACAAAAGCTGAACAATTATTCCCACTGCAGTACTAATGAGAAAGAAGAAACAAGCAAACATAAAAAACATTATTAGCCCCCCCAAATAACCCAGGTTAGTACAGCAGAGGACTGAAAGCGTGTCTTAAATGCATTCCAGATGTCAACAGCTGAACTACTTCTTGTTGTACACAAGTCTGGAGAATGCAGCGATAAAGCAGCAGCTCTGACAAGCTCTGGGGGAAAGTTTCACACTAACTACTCGGAAAATGCTTTCCCTGCAATGCTGAAATGATTAAAAGTGAAGTCTTCCTTTCACTCTATAACTCAACCGCTCACGTGGATTGACTCATGCCAGACTTCAGATACTGATCTGTGGGCTTAACTGATAAATGACTCGACTTTACTTCAGCTTGGCGCTCATGACTTGAAAAACTTGAAAAAGCTGTTGTTGTTGTTGTTGCATTTGTGTTGCATCCATTTTTAATGTATTGACAAGTTATGTGTTCTTAACCCTGATTGGGTGAGTTCAAGTTATGATCTCTCTCCTCCCCCCTTCCTCTTAGCATGTGTGTGTGTCGGGGGAGGGGGCGTCAAACTAAAATACACTTGTGGAGACCTCTAGTGTAAAAAGGTTCAGTGGCAGGTCTGCAGGTTTGCTGGCAGATTTTTATCAATGTGGAAGCATCACAGCCATGAAAGAAGTCCAAAGATTTGATGCCATCTATTAAAGACATCAAAATGAAAGTCAAATTCCAAAAACAGTGGACTTAGGGAGACTTTGTGATGTGTCATGTGTTTTCCCCTTATCGTCATGTTCTCACAGTACAGTTACAAAAAAAGGACAAAGGGTCAAGTGAGAAAGATGGTAAACAGATATGTGAGAGTTGGGGCTGTGATGTCAGTACTTGTTCCTACTGGTTGCCACGCAGCGTGAAATACCAGTACGATATAACATATGATATAAAACTCATATTTTCACATTCGCCTGTTTTTGCTCTCACCACTTTAAATGTGGAAACTGGGCCAGCGAGTTTCATGTGAACTGCCTGGCCTGTAGCAGAGAGCGTGACTCAACTGCCCAATTCTCACTACATGGGAACCACCTCTGCTAAACACACAAAACTCTAGTGAACCTACAGAGGGAATTTACCCTCTGTAGGTTCAACAGTGTTTCAGCAGTGCATTGCACATTTAACCTTTTAATAACACACAGTTCTGTTATCTCCTTCAAACCCCTTTCAACACTACGTGCTGTTTCTGTTGTTCTTCTCCAGGCTGCAGTACTTTCTGTTTCGAGCTTGGCCAATCAAATTTGCCGGTGGTTCTTTAATAACGTCTGTAAGTTGATGCTCTGCAGGTTGTTTTGCACACGATGTGTTCCGCTATTGGCACTTTCTTGAAACCAAGATCTCCGATGCCATCTAGTGGTCTCTTGTCTCCTGATTGTGGTTAGATAGGAGTGTTCTTGTTTACAGGCTTGCAACTCGCGTCCCGTCCCGTTAGTGTGTGGGCCACAATCACGTCATTATTCTCCTCATCAGTGTGAACTTTCTAAGTATTTGATATCTCTTTCTCTGACTCACGTTTGCTTTTGGTTTTAAACTACAGCCAGACAGGACTCTCCCCATATGAGTGAATGCTGAATTCAGTGGGTGGAAAATGCCCAGAAGCAACAGTGGGTGAGAAGGCGCAAAACTGGGAAATATCGGGCTGTCAAGAAATGCGCATAATCGCATATTAGGTATTTGTGTCGAGTTAAACGTGTGGGCTTAAAGTAAAGCAGTACCCGAATAATTAAAATGAATAAACAACACAGTATTTGGTCACAGGTCAAATCAAGTTTGTAGAACAGAAAAAAAAAAACTGCGCTGGCGTGCATCACCTTCACACTTCACAGCTCTTGCGTGAGATTTTGATCACAAGATTTTGTGTAAAGATTGTAAAGATACCCCTTCTGTGGTTTCATGCAAAAAATAAAAACAAAACAAAAACTGTTGCTAAGAAAGACGAAATAGATTTCACACTCGATAAGTGCACAGGCACCTTTCAGGCACTGGGTGAAACTTTCAGAACAGAGACACAGGTGCGTCAGGTGAAGTAAATAACCTCGAATGGGGCTTAGATGACAAATACTCCAGGCTGATAACGCTCATGCGTAGATACCAGGGTTTAAAATGCTGCAAAAATGTTCTCTAGCAGACCTCAGTGAGTAACTATTGTAGCGGACGTGGGTTGAGTGGGAGGTAAAATCGTGCGTTCTTTGTGCAGTGATGCAACACACACTGCTTGCACTGATTCAAAAACAGCAGCGGCATCTGCTCCGGACTGATAAGATCAGCAACAGTCCCCTTCCTGATACCTTCTCATAGTTTATCTCTCGAACTGATCTTCATCACAGTAATGACATTCGTTCACTATTACTGTACACGTATATTCCTCCTGATTTTAATATTCTCACTTTGCTTTTCATTGTTTCCCCGCAGTGCTTCCAAATGTCACTCTTCATACGAAAATAAAAAGTAAAGAAAAACGTGTCAAAGGTGTTACGCTATCGCAAACAACAATCCCCTCTAATGCAAGGCTTAACATGGCTGCTGTGTTAGTTGGGTTTCTTGTGTTTAATAATTTTAATGAATGACTGATTGCAGCCATGTGAATTAAGGGTTTTCCCCTGCTTTCTAATCATGCCGGGAATACAGATTTATCTCACCCTCCAGCCCTCAAAAGCTTATGGGAAATCATGAATGAATAATAATAACAGACATTCTCATGGGGGTGGAGATGAATGAATATATGCGCACAAAAGTTTCAGTAACGCTGACTGTGCCTTGTACGTTTAATGGCAAAATAACAGAGGACAAAATAAGTTATTTACAACACGTAGTAACATGTAAACACAATCTTCTGTACAAAGAAATATACATGCAAAAGTAAAAATAAGTCATACTAAGACATTCAAGATGACATTTCTGCAGTCTTGTTTTAGGTGTATTTAAAATATGACAGTTGTGAGGTTTACATCCCGGGTGTGGGCGAACTGCCCGACCCTTCTCTGTACATCTTTACATCGTGAGCAGGCGGGTTTCCCAAGAAACCGTTTCTCTTCGATCGTAACCTGACAAAGCGATGATCAGGATAGTTTCAGGGAAACCCTTATCCACATTAATAAATAAAAATGACACAAAATGAAAGACGGAGACTTTACAGACCAGAGAGACAAGTCAATAAACTCAACATGTTATCGACAGCAACTGACAACCTTCAAATAAAACGAGAAGCGACGCGAGTTTTTCATTTTTACCAACCTCTCGAACTTAATTCACTGGACTGGCACTTTAAAGAAGTTTTTAAGCAACTTTTTAACCTAAAGACGTCATCGTATTTAAATGAAAACAACTGGCAGACCTTTTTCACGGGAGATACCTGTTAATGCTAATCAGAAAAAACTGTGGTTCAGGGGTTGTTATTATCTGCCAGAAGGTATGATTCTTTCATCAGTGCAGTCCATGGTGACTTTTTCACCCCAGACCTATTGCTTGGTGAAGATATAAACCAATACGGTCTAGCAACATACACTAGTATCTACCTACAAGAGCCAAACAAACTCACACGGCAAATAACTTTGTGCACGGCTTGAAAAAAACAAAAAAGAAAAGAAATAATAATAAAAAAAGACAAGTCAATATAATTTTTTTCAGCAATAAACCACCAAACAATCTTCTTATTACAATAAGAATAAATAAAACCACAAGGAACCTTTGTAAACGCTCATATGCCTCTGCTCAGTGTGGTCTGTTATAACTCAACATGACAAGTCATTAAATAAGCAAACAAACATATTAGCAGGAGAACAAAGCAGAGCCAACTTTGGTATTGTTACAAAAAAACAAAAGCGAAACAAGGACGACATAAAAGCATAAGTGCCTATATTTCATAGATACACATTTTTATACATTATTTTGGAAAAACTCTCCTTTTGTTGCAGGGTTGTTGTTGTTGTTTTTTTGTTTGTTTTTTTTGCAGGATATTAATACTGAACTTAATACATAAGAGTTAACACAATACATACATCTATTGCAGTACCAGGTACGTACATGCCTTTTTAAGAATACGGCTACAACACAAGTTTTCATAAATAGTTGCATAAATGTTAAAGCTGCGACATTGCACGTGGGAACCTAGTAGCGGTTTGATCCGTCCGTCCGCAGGGACTCACTAAAACTCAGCAGATGGAATCGTTTTTGTTCGTCGAGAGATAAATCCGTCAAAATGAGAACGAAAAGCGGGAAAAACGTTATTTACATATAAGGCGGATGCAGGTAAAAATCTGAGAAGCTCTATCGGGATATTCTTTTTTGCTGAGTTGTTTTAATGCTTTGTTCAAGTTAGTTTCTCTTAGTGTCACAAACAGAAGTGATTTAACCTTTGAAACTGAAGCGGGGGAGAGTTAAGAAAAGCAAACTATTGCACTGAATGTAAGTTTCTGCAAAACGTGGTTTTGGTAGTTACATCTTGTTCCAGAATAAGAGGACCCTGCTGATGGGTGCCACTTCACCACGCAAATCTCACTTCCCTTTTTTTTTTCTTTTCGTTTTTTACTTTTTCTACTCGCCAACTACCCTTTGTTTTCCAAAAGGTTATGAATAAAGACAGTTCTCCGTCTCCTCGCTGTACATTTTGTTTCATTTACAAAAAGTAATCTCTCGTTACAAAAAACATTTTATTGTGTTCAACCGAAAGCAGCCTGAAATATTCCTATTGTACAGTATTCTTCTTTTTTTTTTTCTTTGTTTAACACTGTCCAAAACGCAAGACTCGCTCACGCTGGCTTGTTGAGAAAGCTTGGTTTTCTCCCTGCTGAGTCAAGGTTTTGAAATCTCAAATGGATTCCAAGAGTTCGCTTGTTGTGCAGGCATAGTGACGGTATGCCAGGTTTAAGGAGGGGAAGGGCTTGGGGGTTCGAAGGGTTTAATCGGCAGAGGTTAGTCAGTCGGCAGCAGCAGCAGCAGCAGGACTTTTGTGGCTTTGTGAGGGAAAAGGGGATTGTAGCAGGCGTGTCGCTGGTGGTGCTCTCAGTAGGCTTCTAACAAGGATCAAGTGAATGAAGAGCAGTAGTGGAAGAAATTCCTTCTGGTCGTGTTTACCTGGTGACCTACTGTCAGGTCTGGCTGAGCAGGCGGCTGTGAAGGAAGGCCTTAATGGTGCCTATGGGCCGGACATCATTCTGGTGTTTCCGTCTCTCGATGAAAGAAATGAGCCTGGATGTGTCCAGATGTGTGCCGCAATGATTCCGAGATGGTGACAGTGCTGGTGGCTGTGTGGGATTTAAGGTTGAGTCACTGCTTGATAAACCTCGAGGCTGGAGCCAGGGCTCCTCCAGGCAGGACGCAGCAGGGGGCCGTCGCTCTGGCTCGCCCCGGAGCAGCAGGCAGATGAAGTCTCTGGCAGCTGGGCTCACACCCTGGAAGTAATCCTGAGGGAAGCTAAAGTCCAGGCGACAGATGTTCAGACACGTCTCCTCAAGGCTCTCGTCCAGGAATGGAGAGGCGCCGCTCAGAACCACATAGGTCACCACCCCTGTAAATCAACCAGTTGGTCAATCAACAGGTTATTTAGCCAAATTAAATTAACTCATTCAGCTCACTTTTAAATCCCCTTTGATAATTAATATAGCTTTATATTAAACAATCATGCACAAAAGCAGCTTCTGCAGCTGCTAAAATATTATAGCACCAAGACTACAACAATAACAATCCTCTGTTAGATAATTTGCCTGCTTGTTGAGGCTTTCACTGCATTATTGTAGGGTCTTTACCTTACAACACAAAAAAGCCTATAAATGCCATATAAACAAAACTGAACTGAATCATTCATTTTACACTGCACTCCCTTACGCTGTACTAATATATACATTTTTCTGATGAAACTCATCATCTACATACATAGCAGTAAAATATCACTTGAAGCTTCAAAATATTGAAGTCAGTTAATAGATTGCTGCGCGGTTGGCAAGTAGAAATTGCGACTGGGGATTTAAATCACTGAACTTTGCATCCCCAGAGAGGCTGACTGACTGCACTGCAGAGGAAACACTTGTGTTAACGCACCTGGCTTAGAGATTGAGATGATAGTATCGCATGGGAGTATTTCTGTCTATTTTTGTGTCTTAGTCAAATATCAATAAGCAGCCTTTTGCACATACTGACAAATAAGAACAAAGGAATGTGTATTTAATACTATTACAGTGGGTTTCTGCTGCTGTGATTGTGTATTCGAGTACATAAAGGGTTCTCTAATACAAAAATCAGCAAGATACAATTTCTCTACAGACCTAAGCTCCAGAGGTCAGACGTCAGTGAGACGGGCTGACCCAGGATCAGTTCAGGAGCAGAGAACTCTGGGCTTCCCAGAAGAGGATGGATGTAAGAGGAGGGGGGGTTCAGTTGAACAGCATCACCAAAGTCTGTCAGCTTGATCACTGGCTGGGAGGACGCATGTTCCACCACAATGTTTTCAGGCTGTAGGAGCAGGATAGGAGGATATAGGACACAATCATCAGACCTAGAGAAGCACAACAGCAGTGCAACAGCTTCCCCAAAAAAAGATTTAGATTGTAATGCTTTGTTTGTTGAACTGTTTACTTTGAGGTCAAGATGTGCTATCCTCCAGCTGTGCAGGTAATGGAGAGCTTCAAGAATATCTCTGAGGTATAAAGCAACTTTCTCCTCCGTCAGGTTGCCCCAGCTCACGATGTAGTCCAGGAATCGCCCCTGGTCTGCCCTGATAACACAAACACAACATGCATTTTATTTATTTATTTTTTTTAGAGACAAATCTAAGTATGTTTTTCAAACAGATCAGATGTCACAGTCGTTTTACTTACATCTCTAGTACCAGTACGTAGCTGCTGGCTGTCTCATACGTGTCTAGCAGCTTGACCAGATTGGGATGGTCTAGATTCTGGAGGAGTCTGATCTCCTGCAGGACCTGTTCTCGACGCAACAGCTTCTTGTTAACATGCTTTGCCGCAACTGTGCGTTTACTCCCTCTCTGGTCGCATCGCTTAGTCACTGAGAACCGACCCCTGCAAGGCAAAAATTAGTAGTTAGGAATAAGACATTTCATTTGTGACTCACTTTTTAAAAATATCCTACATCAAATTTATAAACTATAACGCCCAATCATGACTGGTGGACTTGGATGTATAATGTCAATCTACTTCTTTGTTGATTATCTATATCAGCTTGTCCAATGTACAACCTCATTTCCAAAAAAGCTTGTGACACTTTCTGAAAATGTGGTTTCTCATTGCTTAGTAAAGTTTGAACTTGTATTTGTGAATGCAGTCACAAATTGTGTTAAATGATTTGAATATTGCTGCATTCTCTAACCAGCTACTGAGGAATAAGCAACTCATTCCTCATTTAAATACCTTCACTTGTATCATCTGTCGCTACTGCTATTACTACTACTACTATATATATGAGTGCTGCTCCTAATTTATTAGCTTTGATGTGGTCGAGAAGCACTGCGTGACAGGAAAACACACCTTCCTAGTTCAGTAATCTCTGTGTACTGGGACTCAAAGCCGTTTTTCCAGAGGAGTTCGCTGCCATCGTCAGGGGTTCCTGAGACAACACAGTGAATTCACAATGATTCAAGTATCAAATGTAAAAATTATAAAATCAATGTTTTAAATGTTTCAAACACCTGCGTGGCATAATATCAAGAGACATACACAATGACAGGACTCTGACCTGACACTCTAAGACTGGCAGAAGAGGTGACAGCGCCTGCTATGTTTGTAGCAACACAGGTATACACGCCGCTGTCCTCTACAGACGCGTCCGTGATGCACAGGGACGCCTCTCCGGTCTCACTGCAGAAATGGAGAATAAAAGGAAACAAAGCATTAAGTGAAATTCACAAACTGATACTGTAATTTGCACAGAGTTATTATGACTTCATATTCTTTTTTAACAACATGAATGTGTTAACTGAGTTTGTTAGCAGCACATCTGCACCTTTACGTCACAGGCTAATGTAAGATTTGGATTTTTCTAGCTAAAAATCAATAAAAGAAATTCAAGTGAGCCCCCCCACACCTGTAGGTCATGCTGTATTGTCCGTTGTTGCTCAGAGAGTTGTTGTCAGGGCCACGCCAAGTGATGGTTGGTCGGGGGCGACCGCAAACTTTACACCTCAGAGTAACTGCATCGCCACTCTCACATGTTGCATCACTAACTGGAATGAGGAACTCTGGGGGACCTAAAAACAACAACAACAAAAACCCAGTGAAGCTTATTGTTTATCTTTTTGAATATTTATTCCAAATGCAAGGAAAGATTTGCTCCTTGGCTGAAGCAACAACGTGCACGTACCTTCATAGATAAAGTTGGGATTCAGAAGCTGAAATGACAATTTGAAGACATAATTAGATTTCTTGCACAAATTGCAGTGGATGTCGGTGGGGTGGCGTTTAACGTGACACTTTTCTACCTTGACAGAGACTTTGTTGGCCAGGCTGTCCTGAGACTTTCGGTAGCCGTTCTCAATTTTCCTGCCCTCCTTGTCTCTTTTCTCAGACTTCCGGCGAATGCGCAGTGCTGTGTGCCACGATAATGACTTTCTAAACAAACGCAAGAACAAAAATCGAGAAGTTTCAGGTTTCACGTTTGCATAATCGTAATCACTATGACTGTCGTGTTTTCTGTGGCAACCTAAAAAGGAAGGAAGGCTGCTTATGCTTACTTTATGGTGCCTTCGGAGAGCTCGGGTGTGACTGAGGATGAAGTGTGTCCTAACACGTAGCCAGGGATCCAGCCCTCAGCCGCAGGGCAGTGCTCATTGGCTGCCCGGTACACCAGGAACATGTTCTGCTGGTTGCTTGCTAGCATTTGGACCACCTCACCCTGCACCACACTGATCTCATCCTCCTTCACTGCCACATAATCCTGAGTCACCAGCATGGTGGACACGCTGCTGCTGCTACTACTGCTTTCACTCTGTCAGGAGGAGAACACATTAAATCATGAGTTACTGCACACATTAACACACATGAAAATACATAAATGCACATATGTCTAAAAGGGAAATGTTACTTCACACCAATCAAATGGATAGTTTGATTGCAGGGAACATGTATAAAAATGAAATTGAGAATATGTTGAACGCATGCAGTGCAAAATGCTTTTTTTTTTCTTCTTTTTTTGAAAAAGCACTTGTTTGTATTTAGAGCAACGGGCTGACAAGTTAGACTGAGAAGTTACAAAAGCACAGAGCTTATGATCCCCCCGGGCAGGGATGATGAAATGAGGAACTTTATGTTTTCAAAGACAAAGACGAGTTTTCAAGAAGAGGTGCTGAAGACACTTTGAAACAAACAGGGCAGGTTGTGCAAACAAGCTTTTAGCCTTTGTGAGGTGAGAAACCATCTCACCAGATAAAAAGCCATTTCAAAAAGAAATTCTGTTGGTACTGTCAAACAAACAAGGCAGGTTGCGGAAAACAAAACGCTGTTTGTGCAATCATAAGGTTAATCTCTGTGAAGTGAGAAACCATCTTACCAGAAAAGAAACGGCTTTTTTGAAATGTGCTAATGTTTTCAAAAACCAAAGAAAAAAAAAACGTCCCATAGCTTTTGAAAGGAGATTGGAAGTTATCACCTAACGGAAAAAAGAGATAACATGTTTTTGAAATGGCACTTGTTAATGTTTAGTAGCTACAGTTGGAAAGCAAATGCGTACTGAAGCTCAGAGAGAGTCTTGAAAAGCAGATACAAGTTTCTCTGTGACTCAGATCCACACTGTTAGTAGTTTCCGGAAAGGCAAAAAATCTCCCTCACACACACTGTCGGTGAAGTTAGTGCACTCAGATAGGTGTTATTCTTCAGTCATTCAAGTGTTTCAGCAGCAGTAGTAGTTGTTGAATTTAAAAGCCATTCTCAGAGCCAGCGGCAGGTTGACTGACTGGCAGACAGGCAGCCACTAAGGGTGAGGTTAGTGACTAGTAAGTACTCTAGGCCTCGCTGAAGCCTGGGCCTCGACTTGGCATCTTACCCCGTTGCTCTGGGTGGAGTGTATGGACTGCTCGCTGGTGGAGGAGCAGGTGCTCATGCGATCTATGTCCTTACTGTGGCTGGAGTGGCGGTGATGAGAGGGAGTCCCGTAACTTCCTCTGCCCAGAGAGTCGCCTCCACTGCCACCATTGTCACTGGGGTAGGAGAAGGAACCTGGCCTGCTGGCAGGAGAGGGAGGCAGAGCGGGGACTATGGCCCAGAAAGCGTTGCCTTTATGAGCTGGGCTGGTGGGGACGAACGCTTCCTTTCCTCCTCCTCCTCCGGGAGTTTGAGGTAATATCAGAGGTGAAACTGTCCCAACTCGAGGGCTTTTGAGATGAAAATTCAGAGGAGCTACTGGCATCTGTGGTCTGCTGGCCATTTGATGCTTCGGCATTTCCTCTGAGCCTCCGAGAACCTGTCTGACACTGCTGTCCATACTACCTGATGGCCTGTTACTGTTATTACTGTTACTTCCATGAGGACTATCCAGCATCCTCATCTTAGGGACCTCTGAGGCTAACAGCTCTCCATTAGCTGTGTTGCCTGAACGGGGGTTAGAGGAGAGGGACTGAAGCGGCTGTGGGTGGCAGAGTGACCACATACCTGCTGATCTGTCGGGACCCTCGGGGCCCGGGGGGTGATGGTGGTGAACAGGCTGGGGGAGGCGTGAGGACGGCTGGGGGATGCGAGATGGTCGGGAGCGCGGGCCGCACAGGGAGGAGGCGCTACCCCCTGATCCTCCAGAGCTGCCTTCGCCGCCACCTCCTCCCCCCATATTGCAGGTACTGTTGGAGCTGCTGCCTCCTGGTAGACCTGCAGTACTGCTGCTGCTAGGTGGACCGCTTGGCCCACCACCTCCCACATGGTTCCTCTGATACTCTATAGGTGACGTCAAAGCTGTGGGAGCAGACAAGAGGTTTTTTTTTTAACAACTTAATAGCCCTCTTAAACTAAAAGGACCAAGAGTGTCAAAATGTTTTATGTAAAAATGTAATTTTGTGTGTTACAGTATTCACAACAATTTCTTACCATTGAGGAAATTTCTCTGATTCTCCAGGATCTGGCTGACCTGATGGATCCAGACTTGACTGACTCCAGGACTTGGTGAATGGAAAGTGTACCTCTCCAGGTTGCCACTAGATGACCTGGAGGTCAGTGTGAACTTGCAGGGGTCATCAGCATTTTCTTCTAGACCCAACCAGCTCACCTGAAGTTATGTGGCAGGCAAGGGTAAAGAGACAAAGATAAGAAAAAATATATAGATATGAAATAAAATAGAGCAGGTTTAGCTTCATGATCAATAGGGACAATCCAAAGTAAGTCCACAGTTGGTCTCAAAGCTATTTAAGTGAGCTGTATTCACCTTAATGCTGTTCTTGAAGAGGTAGCCAGGAGTAGAGAAGCCCTTCTTTTTGTCCAGGGGTTCACTGAAGATAACTATCTGCTCAAACAGAAACACTCTCCTCTCTTTCATCCTGGATAGGAGCCCTCCGTCCTGGTCTGAAACCATGAAAGTGTCTTGGAGAAGCAATCTGCCCTGAGCCACAATTTTACCCTGAGAAACAAACAGGCAATCCAAAGAAAGTTCTAGATGGTGAAGGAGTTTTCTTAAATAGTTTTATTTTGGATAAGTTATTAGAAAAAATGAAAACACACAAAATCCGACAACAAACTAGAGCTGCAAAAACAAGCGCACACTGACACCTAGTGGCAGTTGCCTGAAGCAAGACAAAAAATGTGAAGCATTTACTCTATTGTATTATGTATTTTGGAAACATTCACACACTATCAGAGGTACCAAAGGGAGACTTACATCAAAGCCTTGAAGGCGCCCAACATTCATCATGTCATTGCAGCGTTTTGGGACCACGCACATCACTTCTACAGCTTTCTGTGGAAGAACACGAGAGAAAAAAAAAGTTAAAAACTACTTATCTAGTTATGATACTTTCACAGCATTCATTGGAAAACACAACAGATTATTATTGCTTCATTAGTTTTGTGCTGAATCCTGGGCTTTTTCTCAATTGTACCTCCAGCTCTGTGGCATCCACTCCAGCCTTCTTAGAAATTTTAAGAAGATCCTGTGAAGAAGTTAACAGAGGTAAGGAGAGAAATTCAGACTGCGTTGATCATAATTTATGTTGTACAGAAAAAGATTTACCTTCAGTAGCAGTTGGTACTTCATTATGCGCTGGACAGGTTTGATGAGTAAGTCAGTGAGTTGCAGTCTGTGTCCCAGTCGCTGCTTCAGGTCCTGAAGAAAAATAAAAATCTATCATGTTCGGGACCTGACTCATGACACGGACAATACAATACAGATAGCATGCTGTGGCTATGAGGTGCAAAATGATTAAACAATCTTACCTCAAAGTACGTATCAATATACTCCGACACGATGTGCTCAGACTTAGGCTTGTTTTGGCAGTACACAATATACATGTGCAGTCTCCGTTCCTGTATTTGCAACAAAAACAGAAAAGAATATTACAGATAAGAACATGTAATACCCTCTTTAACAAAATCATGCTGCAAAACTAGTGCATTTCTTACTTGTTTGACAAATAACGGTCCCAGCCGGTCAGGATCCTCCAAACACTTTTCAAGTTCTCCCAGGAAAAAACTGTGAATGGATACAGACATGTGATTTAACCTGCCAAGAAACAGCATGTTGACATTTTCTTTGTATAATGCTGCATATGCCCTGAAGCAGGGGCAGGTACTACAGCTGAAGGATTCTGCCAGCGTACTCTTTGTGCCAGTCATAGATCTGATGGATGTTTCCAAAAACAATCTTGTCTTTTCCTTTCATGTCATCTGGAACTCCTTCCTCTTTCATTCTGCTCATGTAGCCCTGAAAGAAAGAGCCACCCAAAGTGTAAGAAGCACAAGCAAACGCTGACCAACAACTATGTCCGAAAATTTATTTATCCAGATTGTCTTCTTTTCTTACCTCCACCACTGATCCCAGGTCTCTGACATAGTCTCTCTCAGTCTCCACCAGCTCCAGAAGTACATAACTGAGAGAAAGAACACACAGAAATTGTCACGTAAGACGAATGCAACGCTCAGCTGTGGATGAATATCAGAAATGCTCCATATAAGCACACGAATGAGGACAAACATCATTTACTGTCTGGGTTCAAGCAGCTTTTATTTATAAAAACACCAACAGGACTTATAACTCACTGTCTTCTCTTGAGGAAGCCAGATTTGCGCTCGTCCACCTCGTCGATGGGTGAGGAGGAGGAGAGGAGGGAGTTGTCGGAGGGATTGAGAGAGGGAGAGCTGCTGTCACCTTGCTCCACCAACAGAGAACTGGGACGGTCTTCCAGTGACTGAATTAAAGAATTAAGAAATTAAGAGGCAGAAAAATATGTTCCACTTACTTATCTTTATCGAAATGAAGCATAATATACGTGGAGGCCAGTCTGCATGAGTATACTGGGGATATTCGCCAGCGTGCAGTGCCCATTTGTTGGAACAGAGGACAGCTGGGATAGTTAGTCACAGTTTTGACAGATGACTTGCTGGCAATGATGCCATTCTCTGTCACTAACACCAGAAAGAAAGCGTGCGCTTGTATCTACATCTATTAAAATTGTTCTGTGTGCAAGTGGGCCTCATTTGCAAGTATTTGTGAGTGTTTATGAAATCCATCTCACCATCTTGCTCTTCACCAGTTCTTCGATGGCACTGACCAGTTCAGCCGCACTGGGTGTCTCTGAGCTACTGGGACGGCCAGACAGCCGAGATGCAGACTGAAAGAGAGAGAAGAAATGGAAGGAATAAAGAAAACTAACGGTTAATCTTCAAGACACTGTGAATGGAGAACTTTTAGGTGTTGCATGCATACAGGAGTCATACATTCTTAGAGACTTGAGCTCACCATTGTCGTGATTTGGACCTCGATATTCCACATGTCCAAATAAAGACTTGGTTTGTGTGATCTCCCTAATAAAAGGGTTAATTGGGAGCCAACTTGGAGCCAATCACAGACTATATTCTTGGGAAAACAGGGGTTATGAGGTGGGTTTAGGTCAGGGGGAAACTGTGATTGGAGTGCTCTTCAAGCACACGCGCCATAATTGGTCGAAAAAATACTCCATTGGACGGAAAGTTTGCCTCTGCTACAGAGCTTAGTCAGAGGCACAAAGGGCAGGGCGAGATTTAAACGATCCACAATGCACAACCATTTAATGTCACAGACATTTTGCTACTGCAAAGACATGTAAATGGATTCACTTCAGCAAAAAAAGAAGAAAAAAAAGAAGAAAAAACATGCAGAGGGAATTTAATTAGACAGAAAGGAAAGAAAGGAAAAATCTAGATAGGATCATTTAGAGGGTTTCACATGGACAGATAGGGAAACTGGGACAGAAGAGAAGCAGAACAGAAATCAACATAATGCTGAAGGAGGGAACATGCAACCATTAAGAAAATAGGAGAAAACAGGCAGAGTTATTAGTGCCAAAATAAAGTTAAGCTGTTATTTTAAGCTGTGAGTGGAGGAGCAAGTTAAAAATCTTGCTGCCTATGAGTCATGTGGATTAATAACAGAACAAATACAAACAGAAATAAACAAAGAAAAAGCTCAAATATTTGTCCACTTTATGCTGTTCAATCTATCTGACTGTCTCTCTTGCTGATGCACATGATGAGCTGTTGTGTGTACATCATATATTTATGACTGCGTCTCGATTGCTCTGCATGTCCCCACCTTGTCATCCTGAGAGTCGGGCTGAAGCAGGCTGTGTTGCTGAATGGCCATTGGGGGAGGCAGCGGGACAGCGTCCGCCCCCTCTTCTCCTTCCTCCTCACCGCAGCTCTGCATGCCCGATGAGGAAGACTTGGACAGGGTGCCGCTGCTCAGCCCCTCGTTGCGCATACGCTGGAGAGAAATAAAGAACAAGTGGTAGTTCAGAGTCAGACATGGTCACAGTTATTCAGCATTACGGTGCGTCGTCTTACTTCTTCCAGGGTCTCATCTTGTGGAGTGGCGGCGCTGTCGTCAGAGTCCTTCTGCGAGCCGGGCATCGCGTCCATGTTCTTCCTCGTGCCATCGCGGTTCTTCTTATGCTTGTGGGCGAGCTTTTTGACGTGGCCGTCGGCTTTACCGGAGCTGAGCCGCCGAACCGGACTCGTCAGCCACTTCCTTAGTGTGTTTCCAGGACGTTTGGGACCTGGGGAGCTGTGAGGACCCAGCGTTTGGCTGGAGCCGGGCTGCAGGGCGTCATTGCTGGATACGGACAAGGTGTCTGAATGGACAGAGGAAAGAGAACGAAGCACATCCAGTGTTACTCAAACGAAACGCAAAGAACATGCAACCATTAAAGAAAAAAACAAACTTTTTTCAGTTTTACACTGACTGGCAGATCTTTCAAATCAGGGACTAACAATGGACAGCTAATCCATGTGATTAATGCTATCTGATTGTGCTGTTGTGAAGGTTTGTTTACATCACACATGCTTTCACACTGGCACAAACTCGTCCTGGAATATGCAAGTATGACCCAAATCAAATCTGTCGAATTTATTGCTCATTGCAAAAATCATACATATTCATGTTAAGATGTTAAGTGTCACCAACTCATCTATTTCTGCATTAAACAAAACTCTATGCATATGTAACATAGCCTAGAGGCAGAGAGAAGAAAAAAATAAAGTCAATATATGTTAAAGATAACTGTGGATGTGTTTGTTTGTGCTCTGTGCAGGAGGCAGGATGGCCTCCTCCCCCTCTCACAGTGATGACGGTTCCTCGGGGAATCTGTAGGAGGAAAGCTCTTTTTCTTCGACTAGAAATGGAGCGGTGAGAAAATAACGCAGTATAAAGGGATGCTTGAGGCTTTGTCTGAGTACTTCAAACATACAGCCATCTGTCTGTCTCACCTGTCTCTGCTCATTTACTCTTACTTATCTCCCTCTAAGCTTAATTTGTTTGCCCTTGTATCACCCTTTATCATTCACTGCACTACCATCCTCCTCTTTAGCTTCCTTTGCTCTCGCTGAAAATGCTGATGGGAGACTCACAAGTCTGACAACTAAACAAGCTTCTGACAATCTCTGAGCAATCTCAGGATGAGGGTGGATATCCTCAAGCAGTTCAACCGAGGGTAACAACCTGATTTAAAAGTTTTTCTCGATCTGCTCATTTCATGAGAGAAAGAAAAACAAAAACCACAAGCAGTGGATACCACAGAATACATTATGTTAATTAATTGAAATTAATTACACTGCTGCACAGTTTGTCAGCCACATGTACTGTTGGACACACTTTCATCCCAAGATTGTTTTATACTATGTTTTTTTTTCTCTATTTGGCCAAATTATTATCAATCACCATGTCAGCTACAATTTTTATGCACGACGGAGAGCTGTAGTTATAGAAAAATTATGAAAGCATCCCCAGTGCATGCAAACATCGTATAATAATAACATAAAATTAGGGATTTTAAACGATACTGTTTTTTTAATCTTAGAAATAATCTAAATGGACAAAAGTACTGGGGCCACAACACATCACACCTACAGGAGCTGTTCAGCCATGCCAAGAAGCTCCCGGTGCAATTTCTCTGCTGATGTTAATGCCAGAGGAGGCTTCAAACTTAGTTATTGAGTCAGCAATAAGTGACTGATAGAGGCTTTTACACACTATGCGCCTCAGCACTTAATGACCGCGATCTGACACTTTGTGGTTAAGCTGCTGTGGCTTCTAAATGTTTCCGCTTTACAAGCTGATCTAGGACAAAAGAGTGACTTCTTGTCGCATCCTCTTTCTGTACCACAATTCACTGAGCTCTTTAGAATGACCCATTTGTTCACATATGTGCGGTAAAGGGACAGAAAAGACCTGAATTCAAAGATTACGAGAGTGTGGGACCCAAAACTTGTTTCCATTTTCAAAGTCTGACCTTTCAGAACAATAGGGGTGGGGGAAAAAATCGATACTGTGTAGTATCGTGATATTTTGTTTGCTAATAATGTATCGATACAGGGACAGCAGAAATCGATATTTTGTTACAAACAATTTTTTCTCTGAAGTCAACATGCTCTGGAGTCAACATGCTCTGGAGTCAGAGCATGTTGACTTCAGAGCATGTTGACTTCAGAGCATGTTGACTTCAGAGCATGTTGATCCTTTTTCTGAGCAAGAATCCTGACATTCCTTCACTGTCCAAATGTGTTTAACTGTTTTTTTTGGCAGCAATAAACATGACAGTTTACTTATTTTAATTTAAGACATGTTTAATTTTAATTAAGTTTAAAACTTTTTTATTTAATGTAAAATTATAGTTTTTTTAAATTTACTTTCAAATTCTTCAGTTGCTGAATGGGCTGCATAGTTTTCATAAATTGCATAGTTCAGAATAGCTATAATTGTACCAGATGGTTGCATTCAGTTAAGTTGGACTAGACTGTAATACAAACCGTTCAAGTTTGTCAACAATAAAACTGACTGAAATGAGAGAAAGACTGAGTGTGAGACTTTGATATTAGATAAAATGAATATTGATAAACTTTACCTTTATGTGCAGAATTTAAATATCGCAAAATATTTTAAAAAATCGCAATAATATCGTATTGTGCGTTAAGTATTCTGATAATATCGTATCGCGAGTTGTATGCTGATTCCCACCTCTACAGAACAATGCCTCATTTCTTCATGCTTTTATCACTGCCAATTTAGACTAATAAACAGCACTTATTCTTTTTTTTGTTGAATTTAGAAAACAAGCAAACAAACGAACAAACAAAATGAACTACAGTGACACTGCACTGGCTCTCTGTACCTTATAGAACCCGTTTGTTTCGTTCCCCTCTACATGAGAGACTTCATTTCCTTTTATGTTTCAGCCAGATCACTGCTGGTCCATCACTGCTTTTCAGCAGTGAAACCACCTACTGATTTAACCCCTCATACAGGCTTTCAGTATATTTCAAAAAACAATTTAACACCGGTCTGTTAAATGAAGCGCTTGTTATATTATACCCATAGTTTTATTCATGTTAAAGTCTTTGTTTTAAATCCTATTTTGCCCTCTGTTTTTATTACACTGATTTCTTTAGATTAGAGAGATTATATAGAACTTTATTAATCCCTCGGGTGGGTTCCTCTGGGAAATTCAATTTCCAAAAAAGCACAGCACCGACAGAAGTTACAGTGTTACAGAATATTATATTATATATATATATATATATATGAATATTTTATATATATATATATATATATATATATATATATATATATATATATACATATACATATACATATACATATACATATACACACACACACACACACACACACACACACACACATATATATATATATATATATATATAAATACAGAGACAATATAAATAAAATATACGAAGGGGATAAATAGAATAAATAGGAATAAAAAATAAAAATACAAGTGAATTGCACATTTCAAGTATTGAGTCTATTGCACCGTTGACTATTTACATAAGTATTGCACAAAAGGTATTGCACAGTGAGGTGAAGAGGCACTACAGCTTAGTTGTTCCCCCCTCCTTTGTCCTCCTGTTTCCCCTCCCTCTCCCCTCCAGAGAGGAGTTAAACACTCTGATGGCGTGTGGGACAAAGGAGTTTTTAAGTCTGTTAGTTCTTGTCTTTGGGAGAAGCAACCTGTCACTGAACAGACTCTTCTGATTGTTTATGGCCGTGTGCAGAGGATGCCTGGCATTGTCCATAATGTCCATCAGTTTCTTTAATGTCCTTTTCTCTGCCATTGTCACCAGAGTGTCCAGCTTCATGCCGACCACAGAGCTAGCCTTCCTGATCAGTTTCTCCAGCCTGGATGAGTCCTTTGCTGTGGTGCTCCCCCAGCACACCACAGCATAGAAAAGTACTCCAGCAACCACCGACTGGTAAAACATCCTCAGGAGCTTCCTGCAGATGTTAAAAGACCTCAGCCTCCTGAGGAAGTACAGTCGGCTTTGGGCTTTTTTATACAGGTGCTCTGTGTTGCATGACCAGTCCAGTTTATTGTCCACCCACAGCCCGAGGTATTTGTACTTGTTGACCACCTCCACCTCCTCCCCCTCTATCTGAACCGGCAGTGGACCTGCTCTAGACCTCCCGAAGTCCACAACCAGTTCCTTAGTCTTTGAGGTGTTGAGTTGCAGGTGGTTTGTGTGACTCCATGCGACAAAGTTCCTCACCAGACTTCTGTACTCCTCTTCCTGATCATCCCAGATACACCCCATGATGGCCGTGTCGTCTGCAAACTTCTGAATGTGGCATAATTCAGAGTTGTAGCCGAAGTCAGAGGTGTACAGGGTGAAGAGAAGAGGGGACAGCACAGTTCCCTGTGGTGCTCCTGTGCTGCTGACCACTGTGTCAGACGTGATGTCCTTCAGCCTGACGTACTGTGGTCTGTCGGTGAAGTAGTCGGAGATCCAAGCCACCAGGCAGGGGTCCACCTCCATCCTGTTCAGTTTTTCCTGAAGCATACAGGGCCGGATGGTATTAAAGGCACTGGAAAAGTCAAGAAACAGGATCCTGACCGTGCCTTTTCCCCCATCCAGGTGTGAGTGGGCTCTGTGTAGGAGGTACAGGATGGCATCCTCCACTCCGACACCCGCCTTGTATGCAAACTGTAGTGGGTCCTGGGCATGTTGTACCTGTGGTCGGAGGAGGTTGAGGAAGAGCCGCTCTAGGGTCTTCATAAGATGTGACGTCAGTGCCACCGGTCGGAAGTCATTCAACTCATTGGGCCGGTTCTTTTTGGGGACCGGGACGATGCAGGATGTCTTCCATAGGGCGGGCACTCTCCCCAGTCGCAGACTGAGGTTGAAGACTCGTTGTAGCGGCTCCCCAAGTTCAGCAGCACACGCCTTTAGCATCCTAGGACACACCTTGTCTGGGCCTGCTGCCTTTCTGGGGCGAAGCTTCCTCAGTTGCCTCCTGACCTGATCCACTGTGACACTGGGAGATGTTTGGGAGGAGGGGAGGGGGGGAGATGTCTTGCTGCTGAGAGAGGGATTGGAGGAGGGGGGTGTCATGGTGTCAGGAAGGGGGGGAAGCGAGGGAGGTAGGAGAGTGGGGATTGGACTCTGTAGTGAAGGTGAGGGTGAGGGTGGGGGGGTTGTGGGCTGGTCAAACCTGTTGAAGAAGTTGTTGAGTTCGTTTGCCTTCTCCACAGTCCCCCCCACTGTGCTTTTCTTGGTGTTGTGGCCTGTGATGGTTTTCACACCATTCCAGACCTCCCTCATATTGTTCCTCTCCAAC